CCTCCATCCATTGGACATTACCGAACACCTGGAACCGTACCGAAAGAACAAGAATCGAGCGCGAAGAAATCAAATTGGTTTACACTAGCTCGTGAAAAAGATATTGGATATTGGATTCAGTATATACGGAGGAAGCTTGTGACTTGAAAGCATTCTTACGGAGCTCTCGTGAGACGATTGAATGAGAAATAATCAAGCTTAAATGGAAACCTCAGGAAAATCAGTTCGTTGAGTTGCATTTGTTTTAATGTTGCAAAGCAGTCGCCTAATCAGGGTCAGCTTAATGGTGCGTATTCAACCCTACTTTCATAGTGTGTTTTGGTCTGGTTTTCTGTAGGTCATTTATTTTTGATAATCAAAGCTTTATTATCATGCATTGCTGGTACTTTTCACGTCAAATATTAAGTCTCTCAGTTTCATCCGATCTCGAAAAGTATCAGTAACCCGGCTAATTAACTATTAAGAGTTGAATGAAACATCTTTACAAGAATCCGCTTTCTGCTAATCAGCCTTTGGAAAAGAAGCTGATATCAATAGTGCGGAAAGTCTTGAATTTTTTAAAAGACAACAGGCATTTCTGATATATCTATCAGAGCTGTTGTTCACCTGTGGTTGAACATTTTGAAATGATCTAGAAACGAAGGGGAGGCAATCGTCACAATCAGTAGATTTTATTGGTTACTGAAGACATTTGCGTTAATTTAACAAGTTGTCACCATTTTGTACAGTCACCACGTAGTTCGTGTCGATTTACCCCGACTGCGCATTACCTTAAAACTGGTTTCTGGTGGATTTTAATATTGTCTGTTCGTGTGGGTAACCGATTCTGCTGACTAGTCAGTAAATAATAGACCTAAATTCGATGTTTTATGCCTGTTTGTCTTAATTCTTGTGGTTTTGGAAACGGAATCTTGTAAATCCACATGCCTCCAAATAGTCTCCTGTCATCTCAGTTACTAAACCTCCTTCTTATGCTGTACGTGGCCTTGGAATATCAGTCTTACATATGTATTTAACTCTTTGCTACATGAGCTTGCGTACTTTGTGACTGACTGTGCAGGAGTTTCCATGTTTCTCAGCGTCTTGTAGGACTATGGTTCTATTTGTCGACTCAGTGTTCTTTAGACGTGCACCTGTTCAAAAACACGCTTGTAGTCTGATGAAAACAACAAGAGTTAGGTATATCAATACATAAATCTTGACATTCATGCTGCTTAGCGAATGTAAACAATATGAATCTCTTAAAGTCTGTACCAACTTTGTGAGTTACTAAGTGAATTGCATGAAGTTAATTTTTAGGACATTAAGCAATAAAACCTCCTAGAATTACAGAGTTTGCACATTCGTATTGAATAGGAGCGAGAATAAATTTCAGTGTAACTCTCATATCCTGCTTTAAGTAAGTAGCCACTTAAATATTGTTGTGCTAGAAGCCAAATGTAATCTAATGGGATCAAAAAGATAACGAGATAGTTTGAATAAACTGAAGATTTTGTTTCCTTGTTAATTTATGGCTGGGTACTAAAGAACGGTTTGGGTGTACACTCCTTTTCTTATTGCTCATAACTATCTTTAAGTTGAATACCTTAGAAAAAGAGGTGCTTAGCTGTCTTCTAATTCCCTATCTACCTACAAATTCCAGCTGTAACTTTGTTGCATGATTTCATCAACCACTATCTTTCACCAAAATGAGAAATCGTCAACGCGTTTAAAATCTTAACTGCATATAGTCGGACTGAATATCGATTCAGACTACTGTTAAAACAAAATTCGGCATTAAGGAGAAAAGATAGTCTCATAAACATTTTTGTATCATTACTTGAAGGGTCATGAAGGCTAAATTTTGTTATCATTTTAGCCATTGATGAATGTACCTTTCACATCGCTTTGATTTGACTAGTCAAACAGCATCATTAACTCATACTCACTGGGACTCATATTCTTGTATTTGGTGGTTAGTCAGTCTGTCAATTACAACCCAGAACTTCGTAGGTAAGTACACCAGTTCAGATTGCCATACTACTTTAGCACAGAGACGCAATTGTCATTTCGAATCCCATAGTGGTAGATATAGTACAAGTATTACTGGTATTTTGGAAAATTAGGATTTGAAGATATTATTCAAGAAGTATCATTCGGTGAGATAAGTGAAGAAAGAAAAAAGTCAAGATGTTGACGAACCCAGAAGATTAGGATTTGAGAGTACACAAAGAGCGGATGCACCTGCGCCATGGCAAACAATTTTGAGCCATGTCACTCAAGGTCTCTAACCATCGATAACTTTCGTCTCGCGGACCCCAACCAGGTAGCCTACATTTACCAACATGAACCAGTCCACTTGTCAATGACTTCATGGATTTCTGCCATGTTTTGGTCGGGCAGCCCCCAATTTTATTCCTTCCTAAACCTACACCACAAAACATTGCTCGTCAAGGCAGTCGGTGGTTAGCCATACGTAACACATGTCCCAACCACCTGAAATAATGAAGTTTCAATACTTCATCTAGTGATCTGCCATCCTTACTTAGTGCTCGTTTGCTAACGACGGCATTGCTTACTCGGTTGTCTCAGGATACACGAGCGATGCCTCTAAGACATCTATAATCGAATACTAGTAACCTACGAATATCTTCTCTCACTGACCTTTGTACAACACAGGTGATACACAACGTCTGCAATTTCTGTACTGTACGAATTTTGTTTGTTTTTATGGTTTTTGAGATACGATTTATTTTAACGACTATGATTCCGACTTTTACTGTTAAACTGTTGATAATTGCTCTCACAAAGATGTTTTATTTGTTTAGTGATACGGAGTTATGGGGGGAAAATTGTATGTCAGGGTTTGATCAAACTACTGAAACACATAACTTGTATTGCTAAAATTACAGAGACATGTTAAAGTGATGAGAAAAGTAAACAAACAGTAAAATAATAGTAGCTAGCATACAACTATTGGAAATGAAGTAAACATAACATAAGGTTATTTCCTTTGAAAAATGCCACACAAAACTATTCCCAAAACAGAACGATAAGGAATGTAACGAGCTACTTTTTAAGGACTTTAAAACTCCAGACAATCTGATATTAAATTGAGATAGAGGCTACGATTTATCTGCAGCAAGATGTCACATCATAATATGCATAAAGTTATGTTTTACACTTCGTATAAAAATATATAAGTATTTGATACGGTAGAAATAATAAAATATAAACTAAAACAGAGAAGTGGGTACTGTAATAAACTTTAAATAATGGTACACCAGTTGAATCGTTTTAGTTAACATCTTATAGCCCTTAAGGTAAGGTATGGTTGCACACAGCTTTTTCCATACCAATCGTAGTCGTTTATCTTTTGTTACTGGTATTACTTGAGAGAGTATATCCAACAGACATATCACAGATTATAACTTCACCTATAAATTGTTGAATACAATTTTGGAAACTTACGGTAGACTCTACATGAACACAACTGGTTCAGGCTATCTCCTTAATTGGGTTAAGCGGTTTTTTTCATAGCTTTTATTTTTATCTAGTAGTCTAAGAGATTTCGATCTAAGGGTTACTTTTCTTCATCTAACTTTTTGATTTTGATACATGGACATGTGGTTTTCAATTTTTCGCAATCGACATAACCACCAAGATATTCATAGGTTACTAGTATTCGATTATAGATGTCTTAGAGGCATTGCTCGTGTATCCTGGAACAACCGAATGAGCAATGCCGTCGTTAGCAAACGAGCACTAAGTAAGGATGGCAGATCACTAGATGAAGTATTGAAACTTCATTATTTCAGGTGGTTGGGACATGTGTTACGTCTAACGTCCGACTGTCCCGACGAGCTATGTTTTGTGTTGTAGGAGTAGGTTGGAAGAAAGTTAGGGGTGGCCAAACCAAAACATGGCAGAAATCCATGAAGTCACTGACAAGTGGACTGGTTCTTGTTGGTAGATGTAGGCTACCTGGTTGGGGTCCGCTAGACGAAAGTCATGAATGGTTAGAGACCTTGAATGACATGGCTCAAAATCGTTTGCAATGGCGCAGGTGCATCCATTCGTTGTGCTCTCTCAAATCCTAATCTTCTGGATTCTTCAACCCCTCTAGTTTTGTTTTTCTAAACTTTTCTCACTGAACTATACTTCTTGAATAATATCTTCTAATCCTAACCTCTCCGATTACTTCTAATACCTTTACTACCTCTTCTACTATTGGATTTAAATCGATAATTACATCTCTGTGCTAATGTGGTCTGGCAATATGAACTGATGTACTTACGTACGAAGTTCTACGTTGCATCTGACTGACTGACTGACTGTACAATGGTCTAGTGCTCCAATATAATCTTTCAGATACACTTATATAATCTACGTAGGCATCAACTCATGCTCATTGAACATACATTACTAAATAAATGAAAAAATAACTAGTAGGATAAAAATTACATCTAATTGTCAAACAATTTATTTATTTGATATATATGTTCAAGCAAGCACAGGCTTGTTTAAACCTGTCATATAAAATTCTAGTGAAATTGCTCAGCTAAATAAAATAAAGCTGTTACATTTGTAGTGAAGGAGAACACAGGTGGGGCAATCGAATTGTATTTAACGAAAATTACAGAGTTACTCAGTAAAATTGGAAAACCATATCGTAAATTGTTCATTTGCAAAATATCAGTTCATCATATCGAACTGAACTGTTCCTGTTGCAAAACATCAATCCATCGTCTGACATTTCACTTATTCATGCGTTTCATACAAATTCCATTGTGTTCTTCTGACTCTTCCTTTCTTGATCTTCCCCCCAATCTTCTTCTGCCAGACATTACGTTGACACTCACGTCATATACTACTTATAAGTAGCTCACACCACACATTTATGCTAGACAAAATTATCAAAATCTATAATTAATTTAAAGATCTTTTCCTCATATTACCTTCAATAATAATTTTTTTTTTTTAATTTTCTAGGAATTTGCTAAAATTTCACAAACAAAGAAATGGTAATGAAGAAACGTCACACTGTAAGCTTATTTCCTATTTGGACAAGAAATAATGTCAATTTTCTTAGAGTACATCTTTCCGTAATGATGGCAAAGAACATAGGTAATGATTTATTACAGGCTCTATCTAGTAATCATTGTATATTTAGTTGTGGATTTTCACATTCAAATGCTCAATGTACAATTCAAGAAGAATGTGATCGTGTTTCATTGATTCGAACAACAAGTGTTAGATCATCGGTAGATTTTCCTCCAAATATAGATGAGAAAGATTTAGAAGTTTTAGAAGAAATTGGTAGTGGGGCGTTTGGTAGAGCTATAAAAGTAAGTTGGATTGTAATTTTTTGAAAGTAACAATACCTCGTTAAATGATGTTTTTAGTTATTACTGATCAAATATATATTGGGTTCTAGGGGCGGCCAGATTAAAAGATGGCACAAATACATGAAGTCACTGACAAGTGGACTGAGTCATGTTGGTAGATGTAGACCATCTGGTTCGGGTCCGCGAGACGATAGTCCCGACCGTAGCTGCTACCTTGACGTGGTGGTCGGGCTTGCCTATCGTGACGACCCAACAGAGCTATACTGGCTGGAACATATGTTCCTGAAGGTTCTACCATGACAGCAGGCAGGTCGATTGGAGAACGATGAGACTAAAAGCACCTACGCAAGGTCTGAGGGCGAAGTCGTACTGCTGACTGACTGCAGAGGGGTGTGACAGCAGTAAGGTGTTTCCCTCGGACAACCAGCATCTGCAGCGATGCTACCTTCTCAAAAGGAGGGAAGGGTTAGAAAAGGTCGACGCTAAAATTGTCACATCTCCCCTACCTCACGGATTTCCGTCTCCTTGCGTAAGGGTGCCCACTAAGGTCCTTTAAGAACAGAACTAACACTCAAAAAACCTTTCATAAAAAGGCCGTGTGTGACTGGCCTCAAGCAGTTGTCCCTTGGACTCTGCGGTCACGCACCCAGGTCTTCAAGACCAACACTAATCTATCTTCCTTTTCAGGTCCCTCAAGAAACAACCTTCCACGGTGTGGGCAGCCGGGAAGTGAAAACCGCCCTCATACCCGTAACAGCACGAGAGACCAAATTGGTCAAAATCAAATCCTTCCTACACCCACACATACCTCTCTTCTCTCCACAACTAACTCACATTCCCTTATCTGACTGCAGTCAGTCAGTCACTCAGTCAGATTCAACGTAGAACTTCGTACGTAAGTACCCGTATCTGACTGCACAGCAAATGCAAACGATGCGAGTCACCAATGGTTAGGGACCTTGAACGACATGGCTCAAAATCGTTTTCAATGGCGCAAGTGCATCCATTTATTGTGCTCTCTCAAATCCTAATCTTCTGGATTGGTCAGCAACTGTACCTTTGTCTTTCTAACCTTATCTCATTGAATTATACTTCTTGAATAATATCTTCAAACCCTATTCTTCTTCATTACCATTAATACCTCTACTGTCTTTATCACTATGGGATTTGATTTGACATTTGCGTCTGTTTGTTAATGTGGTATGGCAACATGAACTGATGTACATACGTACGAAATCCTACGTTGCTATTGATTGATTGATTGTTCTAGTGCATGAAAAATGTAAGTTGAAGATGTCAAACGACGAGAATTTTTATGCCTAACTAGAATCTAAAGAGAAGTAGTATAGCCTATGTGTAATAGTCTACTTTAAATCACAATAAAACACCATAAAGAAATGGTCAAGAAAAAATGCATACCTCAGGTGGATGATCTTGGTGGAATTTTGTTCTCTGAACTGATTATTTTGGTTGGACTCAACCATAAAAGAGGAAATATTAGGCCACTAAATTAAACCTATTTGGTGATGATTCATTCGTTAATAGTTTTAAGAATTTTAACTACAACTAAGTTGATAGTGGGTTAGAATATTATTTTGCCTGTTTTAAGTATGACAGTATAATCATTTACTCTAACATGAGATGAATTACAACACAAAACTAACATGTAGTTATATAATTAAATACGTAGTTAGATTTGTAATGATAAAAAGACCTTACATCGTTGTGAATTTTGAAGATGAATAATTCGAAGAAATATCTATCCGTTTACATACATTTTCTCTTATCTTTCTAATTACTGAGCTTTAAGAATAAACTCTGACGATGTAAACATTGACACCGTCCTATTGTATCGTTAAACATCACTGCAAAGATGTCAACTCAACTGTTCATAAAATTTTTGATTTAATAGGTTACCATTATTTGTGATAACAATGTAATCTATCGCATGAGAAAGCATATTAATGAAAACCATTTGTATTGGTTGCTTGAACTTTCCCATTGATGATCATGAGTGCAACCTACTTATACCTGTTACGTCCAGTGGAGCATAGGCAGCCGACCAGCATTCTCCAACCTACTCTATCATGGGCCTTTTATTGTAGTTCTATCCAACTGTTCTTCATATCTTCCTCTCATGTCTGTCTCCGATTCTTGGTGTAAAGTGTTCTTTGGTCTTTAGTGGTTCGTCAAGTCGAGATTGACTACGATCACCATAACATACTAATTGCGATCCCGTCACAAAGAAGATAAGATAATCTAAACGAGTGAATATATTTCCTGGCGATTTCGTGGTATCGAAAGAATACCGAAATCGTGCCAGACAAAAGGGGCGAAATCACAGAGACAGTGGAGCCAAAATGACAGCAACACAAACAGAAAGTTTACACGTACAGAGTGTAATAGACAAAAAGTACAGTAAAACAATCACTGGTACTATTGCTTTATTTTTTTTTCTGGTTAGCGTTTTTTTTGGCAAGTTAGTTTGTAGTTGGGGTGGGGGCGCCAACCCCATATCCAACCCCTCCTCCTTTATTCGGGCTTGGGACTGGCAGTAGCCCCGAAGGTTCTACTGGCGGATTTTCAATACAAATGTTAACATAGTTCTACTGTATGGAGCGGAAACTTGGCGAACTACTACCAAAGCCATCATCCAGAAGATACAAGTATTTATGAACAGTTGTCTTCGTAAAATACTTCTGATTCGTTGGCGAGACACGATCAGCAACAACTTACTTTGGGAGAGAACAAACTAGATTCCAGTAGAGGAGGAAATCAGGAGGAAGCGGTGAAAGTGGATAGGGCACATACTACGAAAAGCATCTAACTGCGTCACAAGACAAGCCCTCAGTTGGAACCCTGAATGTCAAAAGAAAAGAGGAAAGCCAAGGAACACATTAAGCCCAGAAATAGAGAAAGACATGAGAAGAATGAATGAAAACTGGAAAGAACTAGAAAGAGAAGCCCAGGACAGAGGTGGCTGGAGAAAACTGGGGGGGGGGGCGGTCTATGCTCCATTAGGTAGGAGGAACAGGCGTAAGTAAAGTAAGTAAGGTACAATTAGTGATAATAATGAATGTTTCTATTAAACCAACCACGTTCTCTCCATGAAAAAGGATTCATTACAGGTGTTCCTCCTTTTCTCTGGTCTTGAGGATTCTAGGTGAGGGCTTGTCTTGTGATGTAGTTTGGTGCTTTCCTCAATATGTGTCCTATCCACTTCCAGCATTTCTTCCTGATTTCCTCCTCCGCTGGTTTGTTCTCTTTCACAGTAGGTTGTTGCTTATAATCTCTGACCAACAAAGTTGAAGTATTCGGCGTTGACAATTGTTAATAAACACTTATATCTTCTGGATGATGCCTTTCGTAGTTCTCTAAGTTTCCGCTCCATACAATAGAATTGTTTTGACATTTATTTCAAGTTTCAATTTTCGAAAATCTACAGACTCATAACTTTTTTTAAAGTCACTCAGATAAGTTACTTTATACAAAGATTCATACAAAAAACATACGTTTCTACTTTTCGAAAAAAAGAAGTGTATTTATGATAATTCACATTTTCTCTCTCTCTCTCTCTCTCTTTATTCTATTTTAGGTGAAACATCGACAATCGAATCGTTTATTAGTTTTGAAAGACGTGATTGAACAAAATAAAGCAATTGAAGAAAGTATTATACGTGAGGTAATTTTTGTTTTTGTTTTTTTTTTTTTCTAAAAATATACGCAAAAGAATATGCATTGGTAAAATGTTGAATATATATATATATATTTGTCAGTGTATTATGAGCGCCTTTAAATTAGTTGTTTACACTGATTGTGTATTATTTTGTAAAACACACTCCCAGGTTTGTTTTTATATCAAATAGCGGTATTTTTACAGAAATATATGTTTCTATTTTAAGAACTGACTTCATTTAAAGAGCAAATTAAACCCGCAGATCACTCAACGGGACTTCTTAGTAATGTAAACTGAAGACCTTACACGGAGACGAATCCAATAATTGAATCTTGTTAAAAAACGACATACCTTTAGGTCAAATGGGATAGAAATAGAATGTTTCATAGTTTGAACTTCTTCAATTAAGCCGTAATATAACGGTAGAGTACTTTCACATGGCTGCAAAACATGGCCAATAGGAGTAGCAGATATTCGTAGGTTACTGGTTTTTGATCATAGGTGTCTCCGAAGTATTGTTCGTGTGTCATGGGACAACCGAGTAAGCAATACAGTTGTCAGGAAACAGGAATAGCAGATCAATAGATGAAGTGGTGAAACTTCATCAGTTGAGGTGGTTGGGACATGTGCTATGAATGTCCAACCACCGACTGCCTCGTCGAGCTATGTTTAGTGATGTAGGAATAGGTTGGAAGAAAGCTAGGGGCGGCCAAACCAAAACATGGCACAAATCCATGTAGTCATTGACAAGTGGACTGAGTCATGTTGGAGGATGTAGACTATGTGGTTGGTTAGAGACCTTGAACTACATGGCTCGAAATCGTTTGCAATCGTGCAGGTGCATACATTCTTTGTGTTCTCTCAAATCCTAACCTTCTGAATTCCTCACCATTTTATCTTTTTCTTCTTAAGTTTATTTCACTAGATTCTACTTCTTCAATAATATCCTCAAACCCTAATCTTTCCTATTACTTCTAATACTTTTATTACCTCTAGTACTATGGGATTTGAATAGGCAATCGCGTCCATGTGCTAATGCGATATGGCAACTTGAACTGCTGTAAGTACGTACGAAGCTCTGTGTTGTTGTTGTTGTTGTTGACTGACTGACTGACTGACTGACTGACTGACTGAGTGTCTCACTTTCAACTTTTAATTCACTTCACAGTTTGTGTGACATCCAACTAGAACTTCAGGAATGTCATTTTAATTATGACCAGTAAATATAATAATTATTATTTAGTCAGTTTGCTTTGAAGAGAGCTCTTTTCATGATCATAAAGTGATTTTTTATCACAAACTTCATTATGTTTTATTCATACGGATTTATATTTTTGTCTACTGTTCTGTAGCTCTACATTTGATTCAAAATCAATATCAGGCTCTGTATATTAGCTCTGTGGAATCTATTATACAGAAATATTCGCGGAGAGATAATTGTCATTGAAAATATCTAATTTGGTTGAAGAATTAGTTGTTTTTCACCACTGGTACTTAATTCCTCACATCCTTCTTAAGTTCTTATGTATATATTTCAAAGAAATTATAGACTTAAACTTTTGTTTTCTGATACTTGAAAATCGATTCTTACTGTTTCAAATTCATACTTGCTTTTTTGAACTGTTAAGCTTTATTTTGTGAGTTACACAGATGAGATTTTCACTTGTCACATGAGAAGCATGCAACGGATTATTAAGTATAGAGCTCATGAACAGCAAACTCGTATAAAACAATCCGGATTCAAAACTGTACGTGAATGTTCTTCATTCGTCAGGTTCGAGAATAACGGTATACCTAGTGATATGTGATAGTAGTAGTACTCCTTTACTTGAAGGTAACATTCAACTTCACAGATCAAAATGCTTTATGAAGCTGTTTGTCATTGGGAATTGTGCTTAAGATATGCATGAACTCTGTGATAACTTTCTACTCGAACACTTTCTTCACTTAACTTTTTTTGTACTGACCTCTTGTCAGATGACTTACTGAGTTCGCTTATAATATGATCGATCATATTTGGTGAAAGCTTGGACAAAATAGTCTTTTAAGTGCCCTGAAAAACAGTGCAAATTATGTTTGGAGTGAGTTTCTCATTCACCAAATCCAAAGTTTCTCCTCAGGACGATACATGAATCTCCGATTGTAGCTGCTAACTTGGCGTGGTGGTCGTGCTTGCCTGTCATAATGACGTAAGCAAGCTATACTGACTGGAACATGGCAACTAAGGAGAGAGAATCTTCGTCGATTACTATTATCCGATCATAGGTGTCTTCAAAGCATTGCTCGTATATCCTGAAACTACTGAATTGTTAAGAAAAGGGTACTAGATAGGGATAGGCGATCAATCTACAAAGCAGTTCAGGTGGTTAGGACAAGGGTTACGAATGCTCAACCACCGACTGCTTCAAAGAGCGATGTTTTGTGCTTTAGATGTAGGCTGGAAGAAAACTAGTGGTGGCCAGACCGAAATATGGCACAAATCCATGAAGTCACTTGCAAGTGAGCTGAGCCATGTTGGTAGGTGTAGAGATTACCAGGTTGGGGTCTGCGAGACAGTAGTAACCTATGGTTAGAGACTGAATAACATGGCTCGAAATCGTTTACGATGGCGCAGGTGCATCCATTCTTTGTCTTCTCTCAGATTGTAAACTTCTGAATACCTCATCACCTTCATCTTTTCAGTAACTGTGTTTTACTAAATGCTTGTGAAACGTGAACTCTAAAAGTAGAAGGCATGAGCTAGTTACTAGTAACGTATCATTAATATATTCAGTGTATAATTAGCACATATTGAGATCATGGAGTGAGAAGTGTTATGGTTAAATTTATGGCACTTAGCAAAAAATGGTTAATCTGTTCGTTAGATTATGCGTCTTTATCGACTAGGTTGGTTTGGGACACATGTATGTTCGCCCAACCACATTATCTACCTGTACACTTGATGCTTAGCTAGAGTAGGGTATATATATTTGTCCTGATAGTGGAATAAAATATACAACATTTATATTTCTTTAGATTTATATATATATATGCTAATTATTGTTAAACCGATCATAAAAACTATCAACCAAATGAAACTTATTCACTTGATTTGAGTTAGTGATCTTTACACTTTTATAAGGTCAATATAAATATTATGCATTGCGATGTGAATGCAATCATTACCAGCCAAATATTCACACACATATGTAGTATATATGAGTTTTTACTGGTTCCATTGTACTCATTTATGTTTCGAAACTATTTTGATTGATTTGTAGTAGTAAGGTAAAATATGATTGGTCATTGAGCATCTATAAACTAGCTCTCAGCCGACTACTGACTATTCAATATCGTGATTTGTTTTCCTCGTATTCATTTATATTCTTGAGTCATTAAGAATGATTGCCTGTAATTGTATGGAGTCGAGTATTGTCTGTTGTTTACTCTGGTTCTCTATTTTTGGTCATAAGTTGTGTGTCTGGTTTAATGTAATCTAGTCTCGCTGTGGTGTGATGTTCGAGTATCCAATTCAGTGACAGTAAAAACTCGGACACCCAAAACAGTTTCATTTGATCTTGTTGCTGTATTATCGTAGTATACTGTGGGAGGAAAATCTTTTTAAAATCACCGTTCTAACAAAAATACTAATAATAGTGAGTACAACTGACGATGTGTGGAAATTTAAGCTTTGATCTAGACAATCAAACAATACCATCAGTCAGTGATTATTACCCCTAATAATTTATGAACTAACTGGATTAGAATTATTCGAAAGAAGATTGTTCCTCTAAACTATTCTATTTCATGGCTTCATCCATATCTAAAATGAGTCATATTAATGTAAATATTTGGGGAAATAGGAATCCTCAGGTTATTATGAAACCATACTCTAGTAGTTACGAATAGACTAGTGCTTGAAGACAAGAAAAGAGTGTAAACAAATATGAACGTTATTATATTGTCATTCATTTGTGTTGGTTGTTCGAATTTTCTTATTCATGTTCACGACTGTAATTGATCGGTCTCTTTGGCTTATATGCATTGCCATTCAAGCATGTTCGCGATGCGGTTTTCCCTCTCCAAATGCAAAATGTAGCTTCAAGATTGGGTTGCATCGACACCTGAACTAGTGATAGGGAGTGAAATAGTCGAACGTGTAGACCGCTTCACTTATCTTGGGAGTCTCATCAGTGCCGATGGCCTGGTGACTGACGAAATCTCAGCTCGGATACAGAAGGCTCGATTAGCATTTGCCAACCTGCTTCAATTATGGCGTAGGTGAGATATCCGTTTGATGACTAAACGACGAGTGTACAGCGCAGTAGTTCGCTCCGTTTTACTATATGGCTGTGAAACATGGCCAGTGAGAGTAGAAGATATTCGTAGGTTACTGGTTTTCGATCATAGGTGTCTTCGAAGCATTGCTCGTATATCGTGGGACACCCGAGTGAGCAACGCTGTTATTAGGAAACGGGTGCTAGGTAAGAATGGCAGATCAATAGATGAAGTATTGAAACTTCATCAGTTGAGTTGGTTGGGACATGTGTTGCGTATGCCTAACCACCGACTGCCTCTACGAGTTTTGTTTTGTAGTGTAGGAATAGGTTGGACGAAAGCTAGGGGCGGCCAAACGAAAACATGGCAGAAATCCATGAAGTCATTGACGAGTGGACTTAGTCATGTTGGTAGTTGTCAAATACCTTGTTGGGGTCCGTGAGATGATAATAATCGATGGTTAGAGACCCTGAATGACATGACTCAAAACCGTTTGCAATGGCGGAGGTGCATTCATTCATTGTGTTCTCTCAAATCCTAATCTTCTGGATTCTTCAACCTTTCTAGTTTTGACTTTCTAAACTTATCTCACTGAATCATACTTCTTTAATAATATTTTCTAATTCTAACCTCTCCGATTACTGCTAATACCTTTACTACCTCTTCTACTATTGGATTTGAATTGACAATTACATCTTTGTGCTGATGTGGTGTGGCAACATGAACTGATGTACATACGTACGAAGTTC